CTATAAAAGGCCACACAATCATGTTAATGTGACTCCATCTTCCACCAGTGCTTATGTAAATTATCCAAGCAATCCACCTCTGTGCACCTTCACCTGCCTTCGCTAACCCTTAACTTCCTGCGATGACCCACCTATCAGTAAAAGTCAGAAAGCGCCTTCTCATATATTGGGTATATAATCGTTGGTTTTTCGGGAGTAACCCTTATCACCTCAGTAAGATGTAAGAGAACAAAGAATCTCTCATAGCATAATATGCTTCTACTGAGAACTCCTTTATTATATATATATATATATATATATATATATATATATATATATATATATATATATATTAAAATGATACTCCCGGAAAACCAGCGATTATATACCCAATATAGGCTCTTTCTCACCTTTACTGTTAGGTGGGTCACGGCGGGAAGGTAAGGCTCAGTGGAGGAAGGTGAAGATGCACAGAGGTGGATTGCTTAGATCATTTACATAATCACCGGTGGATGCTGGAGTCACATTAACACGATTGTGTGGACTTTTTTAGCTTCTTTTTGGATTTTTTTTCACAGAGATGTTGGTTTCTTTTTTTGTCACAGATTTATTATGAGCACTTATTTTAGATTTATATTTATGGTATCATAATAATGGTATTTCATTTGTATTATTGCATGCTATTGAATTGTTGCGTTGCACTTTTTTTATTGATTTTTATTGTAGATTTCTTTTGTTTTGTAATTTTAACATCTCTGAAAACCGTAATGGCTAGTGCAGCGTTCACACTTTAAGCTTGTCTTTTTTTAACAAAAGCTCTAAATATTATTTATCTACAAATGCGAACTAATGGATCATATTATGATGGTTTGTATCAATGACTCTATAGAGAATGAGTGATTTTATGCTGTACAGTTTCTTCATTCTATTTATTTTTTGTGCTGTTAGATTTTGATTTTAGAATTGTGCGGATCATTTTGTGTGATGGTTAAAAATAGCATTCACTATGCAGGAACTACGTGATCACAATGATGAATTGCAGATTCAGCTTGAAACCCTCCAATCCCAGCTCAGTGAGAGTAAATATTCACGCTTACTGGCTAAAATGAAGGATAACAAGTTACTGCACTACAAGGCAAAAGAAAAGATCCATCAAGGCCATGGTAATACTGGTAGAATATTTAGAAACCATATTAAACTGAACTGTATTATTTTTCCTTGTTCTGTATCTGTGATTATTTGCTTATGTCATAGCAGATACACCTACAAAAAGGGGGTTGACCTCAAAGTTGAGAAGAAGTGTGTCTGCTGCAGGTTCAAATGGTAAGTAACTGTGCCTGCTGTGAGTCGGCAGACTAGTGTAAATATGGCCTTTCAATAAATTAAATATTTTATATTCCTTAAAATTTTAGGTTTGGCAGTTGTCATGTCAGAAGCACCTTCTATGACCATGGAAGCTGAGCTGACCAAGCATCAAGTGAAAGAACTTCATCAAGAAATTGAGGATCTTAAAATACAACTTGAAACAAAGGTGGGAAGAACGTAGTATCTAATATACAGTAATACCTCGGTTTAAGAATTTAATTCGTTCTGCAGGACTTTTCTTATAGCGAAAAATTCTTAAACCAAAACGCCGTTTCCCATAGGAATGCATTGAAAACCAATTAATCTGTTCTGGAGATCAGAAAAAAGTAAACAGTAATAAATACCGCATGAGTTATTTTATCAAGTCATGCAGCATTTTAATAGTGACAACCATGTGTTAATATTTCAGCTGTCAGCGGGGTTCCCCACTGACAGCTGAATGTAAAAGAATTGCCGGCAATTAAAAAAATAATTTAAAAAACTGCATGGGGTCCCCCTTTCCATCCATACCAAGCCCTTCGTGTCTGGTATGGATTTTGAGGGGAACTCCCACGCCAAAATTTAAGCAAAATGGCGTGGGGGTCCTCCCCAAAATCCAAATCCAGACACTTTTCAGAGCATGCTGCCTGGCAGGTCAGGAAAGGGAGGGGGGGGGGCAAACAATGTTTCTTTTTAGTTTCTTAAAAGAAACAACATTTCCGTTAACTTTGGGGAAAGTGACAGCTAATTCTGTGAGCTATAGTGAAGAAAAAAAAAAGAGCCAGCAATTGCATTTAAAAATCAGCACTGACATACACTTCGTACTGCGAAAAAAATTCATACAAAATTTGTAAACTGAGGCATTATTTTAAGTGGATTTTCATTTGTAAACCGAAAATTACTTTAACCGAGGCGTTCTTAAACCGACGTATTACTGTATTGTGGAAATTTGCTAATGAATACTGTGCCTTCAATCTGAAAATGTATTGATTCCCATTTAGGCAAAATGTAATTAGTTTTACTCGGGGACATATCTGATTTCAAGAGGTTGATTGTAAGAAACAGACCCTAGGATTCATAAGAGTGTCTGACACACAATTCTAATGCTTCTCCACATGACAAATGTCAATCTAGGGCACGCATTGAGTGTGGAGGTGCACTGAGAGTTACCGAAATGGGTGGGGTTAGTAGAGATTTTTGAATTTGGTGAAGGTCATTTTAAGGAACCATAGTGTCAAAAAATAGTCCTTAATTCTTTATTTAACTACCTTCTACCTTCCCTGCAGAGAGAGGTCACCAGTCAGTAAATACAAACACTAGGTCTAATTTTTGTAGAAAATTATGTAGAAATGTAGAAAAACACTCCTGTACCACCTTCTTCACTTCGGCTGTTTAGAGCTTTGAATGTGCCCAGATCATTTGTATTTTAAAGTAGATCTCCAGATTTTACTGACGTTTCAGTAGGTCCTTTGGCAAAGATGGTCTAAACAAACTATTGACTGTACTAACTGATGCAGCAGCTGTGAGCACAGTATAAACTGCATGTAGCCTCCGCTACATACAGCGGTGCACTCCACCAGCAGGATTGAACTTCCCACCCCACTCCCAGGACAAATAAGAGTGGGGCTATGTGCTGCTCAGCCATGCATAGGGAGCTTTATACAGTCATGGCCAAAAATATTGATACCCCCTTCATTTCTGTCAGATAATGCACCACTTCGCCCAAAAATTTGTTGCAATTACAACTGTTTAGGCATTCTCATTCTCTATTTCTTTTGTTTGTATTCATATGACACACAAAAGGTGGAGAGACAAAAGCCAAATCTGACACATTCCACTCAAAAACCCCGAAAATAGACTGGAAAAAACTATTGTCACCCTCAATTTAATATTTGGTAACCTACCCCTAGGAAAAAATAACTGAAATCAATCACTTCCTGTAACCATCAGTGAGTTGCTTACACCCCTCTACTGGAATTTTGAACCACTCTTCTTTAGACAACTGCTCCAGGTCTCTCAGATTGGAAGGGTTCCTTTTCCCAGCTTCTGTTTTGAGATCTCTCCACAGGTGGTCTATGGGGTTGAGATCTGGACTCATTGGTGGCCAGTTCAGTACTCTCCAGTCTTTTGTCTTAAACCATTTCTGGGTGCTTTTTGACTTGTTCTTTGGGTCATTGCCCTGCTGTAAGACGCATGACCCCTGACGGAGATGCAACTTTCTGACACTGAGCCCTACATTGCACCCCAGAATTCTTTGGTCGTCTTCAGATTTCATAATGCCATGCACATGGCCAAGACAGCCAGTGTCTGAAACAGCAAAGCAACCCCAAAACACTCCACCACATTTGACTTTAGGGACTGTATTCTTTTCTTTAAAGGCCTCATTTATTTTTCTGAAAACAGTAGAATGATGGATTTAATTACAGATTACAGGAGAATCACAAACTTGAAATGCAGTTATTTCTTTTGTCCAGTCTGTTTGTGGGGTTTTGTGTGGACTGTGTCAGATTTGGCTTTTTGTTTCTCCACTTTTTTGTGTCATACCAATACAAACAAAACAAATAAACGTGAGAATGCCTAAACATTTGTGATTGAAACACTTTCTGGGCGAAGTGGTGCATTATCTGCCAGAAATGCAATGGTGTCAATTATTTTGCCCATGATTGTATTTTCTAAATGTATACAAAGCTTCCTCTGACTGGCTGAGGTGGAGAGGAGACTGGATGTCATCACAATCTCCTTATCAGCCAATCAGAGGAAGCTTTATATTTATTCATAGAATACAAAGCTCCCTGTGAGTGGATGAGCAGTGCTCAGCCCGATTTGATCATGTTCTGGGAATGGGACGAGACGCAGTATGCATGTAGCTGATGCAACAGAAAGTTTATACAATGCAACCAGCCACTGTACCTGTGTTTTGCTTTGTCTAGTAAGGTTAATTTGCATTATAAGCAAGGAAGCTTAGACCTCTGTGGTATATTATTGTGCTTTTACTAAATAAAAATTCTGTACACACAAACAAGAAATAAAATACAAGACTAATAGATATACCTATAAATGCAAAATGCTACCTACTTCCTAGCAAAACTATGTTCTGTGTGCAATAGTAATACACCGAAAAAGAGTTTCTTAGCTCTGATTTATAAAGGCTTCACAATCTCCATAGGCAACACAAACCTCAGGCTTGCTCTAAAACGGTTGCAGGAGATTGGGCTAAAAGCATCATCAGGTATTGGCAGAGATCTTCCTTGGTGTTAAGTCATCTTGAAGTCCTCCTAGTCAGCCTAACATGCCAACATTTTTTTTAAAAGTTTACCATGCCCACATGGGTGTGGCCCCTTTCTCAATACTGTTTCAATAGAAGAAACATTCTCCATTTTGACCTCAAGATGGCACTGTGGTATCATACATTTCAAAGGTGTGGTATGTCAAAAGGTGGAGCTGTGTTTGACCATGGTTACAGAATAATAGAGTGATCCAACTGTCAACTGAAATACAACAATGGTATCTATGTTACCATTGTATCCAGCAGCATTTGTTTAACCACCTCCCGCCCGCCATATAGTAATATGACGGACGCAAGGCGGTTCTCTTGTTCTGGGAGGACGTTATATGACATTCTCCCATTCTAACTGCGCATGGGCGACTCCTGGAGCGCGCATCGCAGCGATCTGCAGTGTGCTGTGTCCCTCGAAGCCAAAGATGTTGGCTCGGTCATGTGATCAGCTGTGTCCAATGACAGCTGATCACATGTAAACATGGAAATGTCGATTATCGGCATTTCTCTCCCCATGAGCTGTCACGCTGAATCGGCATTCCTCGGAGGGGACATGTACACAGATCATCAGAGCACTGATGATCAGTGTGCCCTGATGATCTGTGTAGCCCCAGCAGCGCCATCTGTCAGTGCCAGCTCTCAGTGCTTATCCATGCCACCTGCCAGAGCCCATCAGTGCCACATCAGTTCCACATTTCAGTGCCCATCAGTGCCACATCAATGCCACATATCCGGGCCCATCTGAGCTGCCTTTCAGTGTCACCCATCAGTGCCACCTATCAATGCCAGTCAGTGCCACCTATCAGTGCTGCCAATCAGTGCCGCCTATCAGTGCCTCCTAACAGTGCCAGTCAGTGCCACCTAACAGTGCCACCTATCAGTGCCATATATGATTGCTGCCTTTCAGTGCCCATCAGTGATGCCTGTCAATGTCCATCAGTGCAGCCTATCAGTGCCCATCAGTGCAGCCTCATTAGCGCACATCAGTGAAGGAGAAAAATCATTTATTTACTAAATTTTATAACAAAAACTAAAACGTTTTTTTTTTTTTCAAAATTTTCAGTGGTTTTTGGTTTGTTTAAGAAAAAATAAAAAACCCAGAGGTGATTAAATACCACTAAAATAAGCTCTATCTGTCACAAAAAAATGATAAACATTTCATATGGGTACAGTGTTGCATGACCGCGCAATTGTCATTCAAAGTGCAACAGCGCTGAAAGCTGGAAATTGCCCTGGGCAGGAAGGGGGTATAAGTGCCCTGTAGGCTAGTGGTTAAAAAGTATCCCCTCAAACAAACTCCAAGAAACTGTTTTCAAGACAGATTCTGTCCTGTAAGTCTGAGAAAAAAAATTATAAAACAGAAATATATTTATATTAAGTGCAACATAACCTGTCAGTGAAGGAAATAGTTTGTTTTGACAAGCTTGGTCCAAACGAACTACAGTATATAAAATTCACTAAAACCTGGAGATCTAGTTTTAGTGAGTGTATCCTGTGGATTTCATCTATCATCTTGATTTTGAGGTATCTCTGATGCAAAATTCTTAAATAGTATTGCCATTTCTAGGTTAACTATTATGAGAGGGAAGTGGAACTTATGAAAGATAACTTTGAAAAAGAGAGGAAAGACACAGAGCAGAACTTTAAACTGGAAATCAGTGAAATTGAGGAGCAGAAGGCGGACCTTGAGGAACTCAATGCAAAATATCAAGAAGTGATAGATGGCTTGAAAGAACAACTACCCAAAACTGCTCAGCTCCAGGAAATGGAGAAGAAGTTTGAGAAAGAGAGAGCTGCCATGGAAGAATATTATGCAAAGGAAGTGTCTGCACTGGGCCAGCGGCTATGCAGGGAAAAGGAGCAGCTGGAAGAAGAGCTAAAGAGGAGCCACCAGCATGAACTGCAGTCAATGAGGTCTGATATAACTTATTTAGTCTATGGTATACTAGAGTAGATGCTTTGTTTTGGCTGTAGCGCAAAAACTCCATTTCCTTGTTCATGTCCAGTGACTTTTCTGAAACGTACTTCTGCATCAACCTCACCCTGTGTTGCTTGCTGCCATTTTGTATTCTATTGCTCTGTATGCAGCTGGACTGCAGCCTTTTGCATGTGTCACAAGAACCAGTTCTCAGGGACTTGCTTTTCATGCATGACAATTTATGCCCTTTATGTGTTATGTACGTCTTTATAACATCTGCCTCAGTATTACTTGTAAATCACTACTAAAACTGCACTTATTGTAAGATAAATGTGAATTTTTATCACAAAATGCATGTCATTTTGCTGTCAATTGGATGGTGTGTTCTGTTACATCCCAACCCTTCTGTCAGGGAAACTGGGACAGTCCTTAACACTGGTGCTGGGCACTTGTCACTTATTTTATAACAACTGTTCAAACATTATTAACAATCCAAAAAAAAAACAAAAACACCTTGCTGGAGATTTAGATGTATTTTTTATACTTGCGCCCTCTGAATACACTTTAAATAATTAAATATTTTTAAGATTGTAATTGAGTTATGTCTTCCATAATTGGTTTTGTTCTAGTTGAAACCCATGGTAAGAGCTCCTTGATACTCCAGTGCTGCAGTAATGCGTATAATTTGGCTGTTGAAACCACATAGCTGTTAACCTGCAGTACTGTTTTAACACATCTTACAATCATAATCATGTTGCGGAAGACTTCATTGGGTAAAGTTCTTCCAGTAAATAGTGAATATATTTTGAAAAATGGTTTCATACCCAAATTAACTTTAACAAAATCTCTGGGGTTTTTTCATTGTTATACAATGCATGACAACAATGGAAATACTCCACATTGTGCCTGCATTTTATGTTTTTGTTTATGCAGAATGTTTGGAGTTTAATAAAAAAAAAAAGGAAAAAAAACTATAATTTTTTTTTATTATTATTTAACTCGGCACGGGACCAGTTACATATAGTATTTGTTTCTGTTCTGATCGATTGTCTCTTAAAAACACCTCTGTTTGCTGGCTGTAGCTCCACTTCCTTTTAAAGCCCAACTTATGGATGCTCCTGTTGGGGGAGATACAGACTGCACAGTGCGCCCCCCCCCTTAAGCTAAGTGATCTGTCACTGTTATGAATGAACAGTCAGTGCTGCTTGTTCAGAGATTTTTCTCTGGAAAAAAGACCTGCCTGTATGTACAAGCAGCTGCAGACACAATACACAGAGCCACAACTCTGAATAATCTTTTACTATTATGAATTGACAAGCAGCACTGCTTGCTCATTGTGTGTGTGATATAAACCCAGAGCTGCAGTTCTCTGTGTGTGCACTGCTCAAAAAAATTAAAGGAACACTTTTTAATCAGAGTATAGCATCAAGTCAATTAAACTCCTGGGATAGCAGAGGGGGCTGTTAATCAGTTTCAGCTGCTTCAACAGGTGCACTAGATGGGCAACAATGAGACGATCCCCAAAACAGTAATGGTTTTACAGGTGGAGGCCACTGACCTTTTTTTCCCTGCTCCTCATTTCTGACTGTTTTTCACTAGTTTTGCATTTGGCTAGGGTCAGTGTCACTACTTGTAGCATGAGGTGATACCTGGACCCTACAGAGGTTGCGCAGGCAATCCAACACATGCCTGTGCAACCTCTGTAGGGTCCAACCTCTGTAGGATCTGGCACTGTCACATCAATACGTGCCATTGCCAGAAGGTTTTCTGTATCTCCCAGCACAGTCTCAAGAGCATGGAGGAGATTCCAGGAGACAGGCAGTTACTCTAGGAGATCTGGACAGGGCCATAGAAAGTCCTTAACCCATCAGCAGGACCGGTATCTGGATGAGCACTGCCAGAACCCTACAAAATGACCTCCAGCAGGCCACTAGTGTGAATGTCTCTGACCAAACAGATAGAAACAGACTTCATGAGGGTGGCCTGAGGGCCCAATGTCCTCTAGTGGGCCCTGTGCTCACTGCCCCATACCATAGAGCTCGATTGGCATTTGCTTTTGAACACCAGAATTGGCAGGTGCTCCACTGGCTTTTCACAGATGAGAGCAGGTTCACCCTGAGCACATATGACAGACGTGAGAAGGTCTGGAGAAGCCACGGAGAACGTTATGCTGCCTGTTACATAGTTCAGCATGACCGTTTTGGTGGTGGGTCAGTGATGGTCTGGGGAGGCATATCCATGGAGAGATGCACAGACCTCTACAGGCTATACAATCGCAACCTGAGTGTCATTATGTATCGGGAAAAAATCCTTGGACCCATTGTCAGACCCTACGCTGGTGCAGTGGGTCCTGGGTTCCTCTTGGTTTACGACAATGGCCAGCCTCATGTGGCAAGAGTATGCAGACAGTTCCTTGAGGATGAAGGAATTGATACCAATGAATGGCCCCCATACTTGCCTGACCTAAATCCAATAGAACACCTCTGGGATATCATGTTTCGGTCCATCCGCCACCGCCAGGTTGCACCTCAGACTGTCCATGAGCTCAGTGATGCCTTGGTCCAGATTTGGTAGGAAATCCCCCAGGACACCATCTGTCATCTCATTAGGAGCATGCCCCGATGTTGTCAGGCATGCATACAAGCACATGGGGGCCATACAAACTACGGAGTACAATTTTGCGTTGCTGCAATGAAATTTCAGCAAAATCGACTAGCCTGCTGCATAATTTTTTCACTTTGATTTTCGGGGTGTCTTTGAATTCAGTCCTCTGTAGGTTGATAAGTTTCATTTCCATCAAACGATGGGCCATCCTTACGTTCCTAACACATTACCCAGTCCATATCCGTTTAGATATCCAGCCATGATATTTTTTTCCCCATTGAGATCTGATGTGTTTTCAAAGTGTTCCTTTATTTTTTTTGAGTCGTGTATATCAAGGCTGATACACATCCAATGGATCGCAGAGTACTGCGTTACTGTTTGAGCTTTCACTATTTATGAACGAGTAGTCAGTGATGTTGGGCCAGTGCCATGTATAACACAGGCCAACATTGCTGTTTGATCACTCGTAAAACCGATGGCTCACACAGCACTGCAGGGCTGTGCCATCTATTAGCGGGGCTGTGGATGTGTAAAAGCAGCCCTGAAAGACACAGCGTTGCCACCTCCTTCCAGGCAGAGTTGGCAGACTAGGAGGGACATTCGCAGAAAGAAAGGGTTAGATCTAAACTGGACCAAGTGCCCTGTTGTGCCCTAGGAAGTTAAAAAAAAAAAAAAAAAAAAAAAATATATATATATATATATATATATATATATATATATAATTTTTAGATCTTCTTTAAAGCTGGCTATACAGCATATTGTTTGAATTTTGGCCAGTTGGTAACCGGGCATCCTTGAATTGATACATTGAGGAAGCCAGGTGAGAAATAGTCAACTGAACAGTGGCTGCATCCAATCAGATACATGGTAGTCACCATAGCTCAGCAGGGTGATTTGTCCATCTGCGCTGTATAGTGTAGATGGAGTAATGTGTTTTTGTTTTTTTTTCAGTCATTAGGCTGAACAAAAAAATCTAATGGTGTTTGGCCAGCTTTGGTGATACCTTTTATGAAATGCAAAGCACCATGTGCAGCCTGCAGTGTGTTCTCAGTATAACTCTGCATAGACCAATAAGATTGTCATAGGGCAACAGTGTTGTTCCTTCATAGACACTTTACAGTGAGCAAGTGTTGTCACCCTAGGACAGGAAGTTTCACTGGCAAGACCAACAGGTAAATGTAAAGCACAATAGTCTACGAACAAAACAAAACTATTGCATCTACCAGGTCTATAGACTGGCTAGTTGCAATATATTGCATATTTGTTCTAGGGTTTAGATACACTTTAAGTATGCTTGAGCCCTTATGAGCCTATACAGTAAAGTTGTCCATGCACTGATCCAAATTCGTCCTGTTCAGTTGGCATTGACCGATTTATCGGTGCGTGGCTGTCCCTGCTTGCTTGATCAGCCTTTGTTGAAGGGATGTGCTGGAAAACCTTT